TCCTCTTAACAAAACATGTATACAAATATATATTATATATTTATACTGATATACAGTATTATATATATATATATATATGAAAATCCGTGTACTTTATACTTATATACGTAAAATAGTATAAATTATTTAACGATAAAAATTATTTTTTAAACAACAAAACTTTATAAATATTTTGATATATATTTTTTAAATATTATTATAAATAAAATATTCTCTCTCTCTCTCTCTCTCTCTCTCTCTCTCTCTCTCTCTCTCTCTAATCATAATAACATGTAATAATCACGTAATAATTTATTATCATTATTATATTATACATTATTTTTAATATATAAATTAGTATATCTCTCTAATTAATATTTATTATGATTGTCTATATAATATGTCTATGCATTATGTAATTTAAAACAGTAATTAAGTAAAATGAAACCGTTTTTTTTGTTTGTTAAATAATATATATATTTTCTGGAGGACCCCATTGATGATGATTGCTTAACATTGCTTTGTGACATACATTAATCAATTACCAGACCATCACACACACACACACACACACACACACACACACACACACACACACACACACACACACACACACACACACACACACACTAACCCATACATTACAATCATATATATATATTTTTTTGGTATGACATCCCTTTCCCCCCTTTTCCAATATCACCCTATCCTATCTACTATAATATATATATATATATATATCAAACACACAATGTATATATGTTTTCTTAGAATTGAATTTATTTATTTTTTTATTATATTGCCTTTATTTCCCTTTTTTTATTAATATCAACTTTCTCTCTCACTCACTCACTCACTCACTCACTCACCCGCTCTCACAAATACACACTCATTCACTCACTCACTCACTCACTCATTCACTCAATCAGTCATGTATTTCGTTGGAATTTTTGTATGTCTTTTATATGTTTGCATTGATTTTTTTTATTATACAATCAAATTTCACTCTCACTTCAAACTCTCTCTCTCTCTCTCTCTCTCTCTCTCTCTCTCTCTATGTTTTCTAAACGGAAGTCCGACTATGAGTGCAATGCAGCGTTCAGTTCAGTTCGCAGTTGCTATTAGTTTGGGGTATAGTTTATAAGGTAATTGAATGTATGAGAGATAGGGATAGGGATATAGGGATGTGTCTATATGTGCGATAGACAGCACTGGCATTACATTTTGTTTGAGGTTTTTTATTTTGAGAGGAAAGCTATGTGTGTGTGTGTGTGTGTGTGAGAGAGAGAGAGAGAGAGAGAGAGAGAGAGAGAGAGAGAGAGCCTGAAAAACCAGTGTTTAGTCGCAAAAAAAAGAGAGAGTAGTTATACAGAACAGGATATGTAGTTTTTTTTTATTATATATTATAAATGTGCGGCCAATTCATGGCATAGTTATGTAAGCCTAACCTAACCAACCCAACCAACCAACCAAACACACACACACACACACACTAATAAAACCAACGGTGCGACACCTAGTAGTCAATACGTATCTCTAATGTATAGATTTTTTCCTTTAATTTTTTTTTTGTTAATTATAGTTTTAACTTTTTTTTGAGGAAAATTTCAAAATCATTTAATTTCATATTTAATAGTAATTTTGATTTTGATTTTTTTTTGGAGTTTGATTTTTATATGTATGTATGTACTAACTAACTAAACATTTATAATTTATATATCAATCTATTAGTTTCAATGATAATATACATATACATATAGATACATATACATAGACACACACACACACACACACACACACACACACACACACACACACACACACACTTACACGTGAATTAATAATATATGATAAATAATTTGTAGGCTAAGGCTAGTGACCACACAATTATTGTCACCAATAGTTAGTATATATATATATATACTGTATGTGTGTTTTGAATGGATAGTATGGAAAACTACATACCAAACCAACAACAACAAAAAAATGATAAATTGTGTGATAAAAACTTGTCTACAATTTTATTCAACAAAAAAAATAGTTATTGAAAGCAACAAACAAACAAAACAAAAAAAAAGTAGAGATATTTTTTTTGTTGGAAAATTTCCGCAAAAAAACTTTATAATGTTTAGTGTGTGGGGTATATGTAGTGTTTATTTTAATTATTATGATTTTTTTGTTGTTTAGAGAGAGAGAGAGAGAGAGAGAGAGAGAGAGAGAGTTTATAATGAAAAGTATAAATTATAAAAAAGTTTTTCCTATTTAACAAAAAATGAGAAAAATATTAAAACATTTATATTATATATATATATATATTAAAGGGTTTTTGCACTATATATTTAAGTTTTTATTTTTACAAAAAACATTTAAACTACTATTAAAATACTATTGCAATAACAAAACAAGAAAAAAGTTTTTTAGATACAAAACATTATTATACATTAATTGTTTTTTTTTTGGTAAATAAATTATAAAATAATAATAATAATAATTGTCTAATCATAATAACATTAATAATTTTTAAATTATATTTAATACATTTAATTATAATATTATTATTATTTATATTATCAAAATTTGTAGTGTATTTTCCAGTCATTTAATAATGTATTGTTTTTTATTGTTTACTACACTAATAATATTATATATTATAACATATTTAGTATTTATAAAAAAAATAATAATTATATTAAATATATTTAAATATTATTTTTTTTCAGTTGTTGCTAAACATGATAAACAAATTAAGTTTATTTATTATTATTATTATTATTATTTTTGGTTTCATTTAGAAAAATTACTTTTTAAATACATTTTATTTATTTAAAGTATACGTTTTAAAAAAATAATAATATATGTACTGGATAGTTTTATTTATGGCATCAAAAAATAATAAAGTTATTAACATCTAACTTATATATAAACATATAATGTATATATATATACATTATATATATATAATCCTCACTAAACAGACACTTATTACCCCCCCTTTACACCCCCTCTCTCTCTCTCTCTCTCTTTCCCTTTAAAAATAAGTTATTGATGTAAAGTATATATTGTTTTAAACGATTAAAAAATTTATTAGTAATTTAACACAAAAAAAAAATATTTGCAGTGAATATATATATATATATAAATATATTGAGTATAAATAACCTTCATTTATATATACTGTATATTAATATGTAATAATCATTTTTAAATTTTTTTTTGTAATATACAATGTATTTAAAGAGAGAGAGAGAGAGAGAGAGAGAGAGAGAGAGAGAGAGAGAGAGAGAGAGAGAGAGAGAGAGAGAGAGAGTGATTTTGAAAGGAGTATTGCCCACTAATATACAACCAAAAAAATAAAATAAATAATATAAATATTTAAATATATATTATAAGTGTTTAGTGAGTTTATAAGTTTTCAGTAGAAAAATATTGATAGCTTTAACTATATATATATATATTTATACAGTATATTAATATCACCACATATTGGTTTAGTATATGTTTTTTAAATGCAAATATAAAAAAACCTGAATAAGTAATAATAATAATAATGTATTAGTTATTTCATGAGAAATATAGTGACTCTTTCTTTTTTTTGTGACTCTCTCTCTCTCTCTCTCTCTCTCTCTCTCTCTCTCTCTCTCTCTCTTGATTTGGTAATAGAAATTCAATATTCATTGGAAAGAGAGAGAGATTTAGTTGTAAAAAGCAATTTATTATTATATGAAAACCCTTTCTCTCTCTCTCTCTCTCTCTCTCTCTCTCTCTCTCTCTCWCTCTCTCTCTCTCTCTCTCTCTCTCTGTCTTATTATAAATATATATATAATAATTTTTTTTCAATGTCATACCATTGAATGCACTTTTATTTTATTTTTTATTTTATTTTATTTTTTGCTTCTCTCCTCATATTTTTTTTTATTTCTAATGTGGTATTTGTTTGTTGTTGGCATTGAATCCGATTAATGACTCCATAGATATATATATATACAGTATATAAAAAAAGAGTTATAAAACAACAAAAAATAAAAATCTAATATTTTTTTGTTGTTATTTCACTTTCAATCTATATATATATATATATATATATATATATACATATACTGTATATTATGTATGTATATGTTGTTGTGTCAGTTAATTTACTTATGTATATTCAAAACACATATATATTAATATATTATATCATATATATGTATAATATAATGACTTATGTTTTTTTTGGTTGTTTTTTATGTGTTTTTTTTATGTAAAACAAAATTAATTATATCTGAACTAAGCAAATACATTATTATTATTATAATTATAATTATAATTAATCTGTCTATCTATCTATCTATAAATAAATATATTTAAAACTATTTAAATATCTATTTGAAATGTTTTACAAACTATTTTTATATGATTAACTAATGGGAATAATAGTATCATTTTTTTTTTAAATAGTTTATTAATATTATTATTAGATTTGTTACAAACAAACAAACATAAAACTATTTGAAACTTTTATTTAAAAAGTTTTTTGGCTCATAAAAAACAGATTATATCATCAATTGAGTGAAATAGCAAAAAATCAGCAAAAAACAAATGAAATTAAATAATATTTAATATTTCATTATCTTTATATATATATATATATATATATATATATATATATATATATAAAGTTTTATTTTATTTATCTACAAAAAAAAACATTTTTTTAACCGCTAAACATGTGATATAATTTTATTGCACCCAACAAACAAAAAGCAAAAAAAAAAACAATACAATACAATAGCACACATTTATAAATAAATTTTTAAAAAACTAATAATAAAAATAACTAATTATTTATTTTTTGGTTAACAAAGACTAATAAAAATTAAAACATAAAAAAAAATTTATAATTATTTTTAAATAGACTAATAATCCCATAATTTTTTGTTGTTGTTGTTATTGGAGTCATATATTGCATAATAAGTTATATAATATTTTTTTTTTGGTATATATGCTAATTACTATCTATATTATTACTAATTAATTAGACGCCTCATCGACTGGACCGGTAGCACCACAGGCAACACCGGCACCGTTGTCGGTAGTGGTGGCCAGTGGTGACCATCACCACCACCACCACCAACAACAACAACAACATCATCACCATCCGACCTCACATTACCATCCATCAGCACACACCCACTCCTCCTCCTCCTCCTCCTCCACCCATAATCGTCACCTATACTCACTTGAATCTCCAACCACTACCACCAACAACAACAACACAACAACAACTAATAATAATAACAATTCACTGCCAAACAGCACAACACAACAACAACAACAACAGTCTCAACCACAACAACAACAACATCTGCACACATCGCACCCGCACTTGTCGGCCACACTGACCAATGCGTTCAATGGCGGCGTCGGCGGCGGCGGACAACAACAACAACAGTCCAATGTTGTCGGCGGCAGCGGTCAAGTAGTATCGTCACCGGTGGTGGCACCGGGAGGTGGTGGAGGAGGAGGGCCGACACCGGCCAACCGAATCAAATTAGAGCCGACTATGGGAGGCGCGCACACAACAAACAACTACTATAACAATCACTATTCAACGTCCGATCACAAAGGTATGGGATCTCTATCTCTCAATCAATGCATATATATATATAGAAATAATTGCACACCCACTCACCCACCTAATCAAATCAATGCATAATTATTTTTACCCACATTATTTTTTTTTTGATACTTATTATCTAATATAAGTATAATATTATTGAGAAATTTATAAATTATTTATTATTATTATTATTATTTAATAATTTCATTGACACCTAATAGTACCCCTACTAACTGATTATTATTATTATTTTCTAGTAAATAAATATATAGGAATTCCTTATAAAAATTGTTTTAAATGTTACCCAAAAAAATATTTATATATAATAATTGTTGCCTAAGTATCTAATATTTGTATTATTATTATTATTGCAATTATTTTATGCAATCATCTAATTTTTTTTTATAGATGTGCCAGTGGTTAGCGCCAGTGGTATGGGTGTCGGTTTAGTCGAAGATCTATCCTATCATCACCATAACCAACACCAACACCACAACCACCACCATCAGCAGCAGCAGCAGCATACGGGCAACATAAGCACCGGTAGTACTACTACTACCACTACTACTAACACTGGTAATGGTATGCCCACAACAAACGGTGGCATAATTAAGAGGAAAAAGGGTCGGAAACCGAAAAATTTGGAAAATATAAACGGAAATAGCAATCATTGTCCGTCGGCTACAAAACGAAAGAGTAGAGAAGGTATGTATCGATTTATATATATATGTATATACCTAACAAAAAAAAATCCCTGATCTACCCTTCCCTTCCTTTACCCCATACATTCCCATCCCTTCCCTCCCCCCCCTCTCTAAATAATCATCAATACAATGAGCACATATACCTCTAGTAGAGTAAAGATGTTTCCCATTTTATACCCACCGACACACATATATATTAGGCGATTGACAAACAAAAAAAAACAGTTTGGCCTCCAATGAGTGCCATAACCTGTAATCGCATTATTAGTATATATATATATAGTAGAGGATCCGGTGATATACATTTGCCTCCCTGTCCTCTCTCTCTCTCTCACTCTCTTTCTAACCTCGAAAAGATTCTTTACATTGAGAATTATTTATATATATATATATAAATAAATTTCAATAGGACGGGAGGATAGGTATTAGCAACTAACCAACAAAAATTTTTTTTTTTTAAAACCATAAATACCTAAATATCTATAATATATTTATATATATATATATATATTGTTAGGCGATTTGTTTTTAGAGAGAGATAAAGAGAGGTCAATATATTTTTAAAGGTCTCTCTCTCTCTCTCTCTCTCTCTCCCTCTCTCTCTCTCTCTCTCTACTAACTAAACTAATATATGTGTAAATTTTAATTTTATTGTTAGCAATATATATATATAAATATACCCAAATCCCTACACATAAATTGTATACTTAAATACTACTAATATATACTGATTCTGAAAAAAAATTTATTATAATATATAAACTTTTTATTTATTTATATATTTTTTAAGTATAAAAGTATTTTTTTAACCAATAATTTTATTTTTTTTTAATTTTAAATTTTTTAGGTTCGACGACATATTTGTGGGAATTTTTATTGAAACTATTACAGGATAAGGAGTACTGTCCAAGATTTATCAAATGGACTAATAGGGAAAAGGGTAGGTATCTCTAGAAATATATATATACTGTACCTATATATTGGATATATAATTTAGTATTATTATTATACTGTATATATGTGGGGTAACAGTAGCAATCTGTTACACACACACACACACACACACACACACATGATATGAATATATAAATGTATGTATGTGTGTGTGTGTGTGTGTGTGTTTTGTGTGCCCCACTAAATTATTTGAGTAGTTTAGTATTAATATATATATATATAGCACATATATATATAACTACCTACCGGTGCTGCACCAAATAAAAAAGGCACAGTCACTCACTTTTTATTCATACACTTACTTTTACTCTCTCTCTCTCTCTCTCTTTCTCTTACTTTCCCTTTTACTCTCTCTCACTCTCTCTCTCTCTCTCTCGACACTACTGTTCAAATTAGGGTCGGGTGAAGGATATATAGTGTGTGTGTGTGTGTGTGTGCACTGAAAAAAAGTGTTAAGTGAAAGTCACCCTCAAATACCAATGATTTATATGTATGTACAGTGTGTGTGTGTGTGTGTGTGTGATTTAAATGAAAGCAAATAAATGTGTGTTTTTTTTATTAAATAAGTTATTTGACAATAAAAAAAATAGTAGTATTAATAATTAGATAATTGAAGTCAAAGTTTGTATGAATCACATTTCATTGGAAAATTTATTTTTATTTATTTATATATAACAATATATATAAGTTATATCACTATTTTCCCTCTCATTTAAGAGAGAGAGAGAGAGAGAGAGAGAGAGAGAGAGAGAGAGAGAGAGAGAGAGAGAGAGAGAGAGAGAGAGAGAGTTATATATATAATACATATACACAAAAATAAGTGGTATTATTGATTCAGTTGTTAGGCAATTAACTTTTATTTTATATGTAATCTCTCTGTACTGTACAGTATGTATGTATGTGTGTCTTATATTGTATATATAAATATATATATCTTTTAGCAAAAATATTTTTGAGGGCAATAAGTGAGCGCAAAGAGAGAGAGAGAGAGAGCTGTTTTAGGATATATACATACATTTTAATATATATATATAATGTTGGAAAGCCATCAAATATATATATATATATATATTGAACAAAGCCATGACTTACCTTGAACTGGCTCATGCACTACCAAGCATAGTGAACTTGCCATAGTTATGCCTATGCCTATGCCAGTGCGCAAGCATAACATACCAGTGCCGCCGAGACTTATTTTTTTATATATATAAAGTTAGTTGTATAACAAAATTATATTATTTTTTTTCTCTCTCTCTCTCTCTTTAATAATGATATCGAGACAGTACAGTTGTATAACATATATATTATTATTATTATTATTTTGTTAGTGGAGTATATATACAGTATATAAATGAGTGGAGATTTGAACACAACAATAAAGTTGGGGAAAAAATCATATATATATATATATTTAGTTTATACACACAGTTGCATACACACACACACACACACACACATTCATACACTTAATAAAGTTTTTTTATATATATTATTAGTAATTGTGTGTAGAAATACAGTATTAGTAATGTATTAGTTTATTAATACATAGGCGCGCGCGATATATATCATAAATTACATATAGTTTTCTGGAAATTATTATTATTATTATTATAAAAAAAATATCAGACAATATAAGGTCAGGCTGTGGGTTAGTGTACATTATATATATATATATAGAGAGAGAGAGAGAGAGAGAGAGAGAGGAGAAAGTAATTATTTTTTTTAGTGAGTGTGTGTGTGTTATATAAGTCATTGATATATATGTCTGTATATCTATCTATATATAAATATATTTGTGTGTGTGTTATTTATATATATAAAAAAATATATTTATATATGTTTTTATTTTTGCAAAAATTATATATATTTTTTTGTGGGGCTTTGTCTCCTATCGACTATGATCGAGGTCATTTATGTCATTTAATAATAAATAAATAAATAAATTTATATATATTTATAAATAACATATATATAGACAGACATACATAACTTATATATATATATATATATATATATATATATATATATATATTATATATATATATACCACACAAATAGATATTTATTTATAATTTGAATTAATTATTTTTTTAAAAAAATATGGTATAGTTTTTTGTTTGTTTGAATTTTATGGGGAATTTAATACATTATATATTTTTTGTTTATTATTTAATAAATAAATGCAATAATAATAATAATAAATAGTTAGTTAGTTAGTTAAACACTTGTTGTTGTTGTTGTTGTTGTTAAATATGCAAATAAATATATAAATGATTTTATTTTGTTGTTGTATTTATCACAAATAAATAATTTATCTAATAATATGATACAAAAATTTCATAATATATTGAAATAATAATTTTATTATTATTATTGAATGTAAAATACAGTATTTAATTGCATACAAATTACATATACTGTATATATCAGGCAATTAGGAAATATTTTTGAATATTTATAATATTATCGATAAAACATATTTAATTTTATTTATTTTTTTAGTTTAGTCATAATGTTTATTGGTTTTCATTATTATTATTATTTTTAAAAAACATGTTGTTTTCCTCATTGGGAATCTCTCTCTCTCTCTCTTTCTCTCTCTCTCTCTCTCTCTCTCTCTCTCTATAAAAACCACAATACAATAGATAGTTATATAAATATTTAAACTTATATATATATAAATAGAGTTAAAAGTTAGGGGAACCTGTCTTTTATTATTTATATATATATATATTAAATAACAAGTTTTTCAACACTACTAACCAGTAGTAGTACTGTATGTATAGTATGTGTAAAATACATGTTTGAAGTCATATTTGGTTATAAAATTCAAGAAAGAAAGAGAGAGAGAGAGAGAGAGAGAGAGAGAGAAATTTTGAAGAAATAAAAAAAACAACAAAAAATGTTTTTTGACTCTCATTTTTTTGTTGTTGAGCTAATGGTTTTTGGTTTGGTGTGTGTTGTTTGTTGGGCTGGGGGTATGGCATTGAATATTATTTTTTTTTTGAACAACCATTTTTTGAACCAACAGCACCGGGAAATTCCCTCCCAGATTATGCCATACCTCTGATAGCATAGCATAGCATAGCATAGCATAGCATAGCATAGCATAGCATAGCATAACATACACAACCCCTTACACAATGTTTCAGGTGTTGTTTGTACAGTAAAAAAGTAAAAAATAAAATAAAAGTAAAATTCAGGTATATGTACGACAATAATGTTGTTGTTGTTGATGATAATGATGATGATGACTGACTGAGACTACCTGAGCTCTGGTTATACCATGAAACTTGACTTACCTTGACTTTCACTGTATGTGTGTGTGTGTGTGTGTTGATTGAGTTATTTTTTCCCCTTTTTTTCCTAAAAAAAAATAAATAACTAACTATTTATTTGTCATTTATATATATTTTAGTTATTTTTTTTGTTTGTTAATGTGTTTGCATATTAAGTGATTGAGTGACTGACTGTATATTTATTATAATATAATTATTATTTTAAAAAGGATTATTACTATTATTATTATTATTATGAAATACGAAACAATTATTATTATTATTAGTATTATTTCGGAAATATTCAATAAAAACTTAAAAATATATTTATTTATTTAATTAAAAAAAACTTTATTAATTATATTATTATTATTTTATTTAATTAATTAAAGGTATATTCAAATTGGTTGACTCAAAAGCTGTCTCTCGTTTATGGGGTTTACATAAAAACAAACCCGACATGAATTACGAAACTATGGGTAGAGCACTCAGGTATGTACTACCATCCGACCCCACCCAACCCCCATCACTAACCAAAAAAAAATCAAAATATGAAAATCAAAATTAAATGACAATTGTCTTAGCAATTATAAATTGTTAGCTTATATATCAATATAAACAAAAAAAATCTATTTTCATATTTTTGTCTATTACTACTACCAACCCAACCCCACCCAACCCCCATCACTAACAAAAAATAAATATCAAAATCAATTTATATCACCCAGATTGTCTTTTAAATTTTAAATTATCTAGCTTATATATATTAGTATAAACCCAAAAACATTGATTTTCATATTTTTGTCTATTATCACTACCAACCTAACCCCACCCACTCCAACCCCCATCACTAACAAAAAAAAAATAAATATCAAAATCAATTTATATCACCCAGATTGTCTTTTAAATTTTAAATTATCTAGCTTATATATATTAGTATAAACCCAAAAACATTGATTTTCATATTTTTGTCTATTATCACTACCAACCTAACCCCACCCACTCCAACCCCCATCACTAACAAAAAAAAATAAATATCAAAATCAATTTATATCACCCAGATTGTCTTTTAAATTTTAAATTATCTAGCTTATATATATTAGTATAAACCCAAAAACATTGATTTTCATATTTTTGTCTATTATCACTACCAACCTAACCCCACCCACTCCAACCCCCATCACTAACAAAAAAAAATAAATATCAAAATCAATTTATATCACCCAGATTGTCTTTTAAATTTTAAATTATCTAGCTTATATATATTAGTATAAACCCAAAAACATTGATTTTCATATTTTTGTCTATTATCACTACCAACCTAACCCCACCCACTCCAACCCCCATCACTAACAAAAAAAAATAAATATAAAAATCAATTTATGTTACCCAGATTGTTTAGCAATTTTAAATTATCTAGCTTATATATATATCAGTATAAACCACAAAAAAAACAAACATTGATTTTCATATTTTTGTCTATTACTAGTATTATGATTGTATATTAATTTTAATTTTTAATTTATTTAAATTGTGTTACCCAGGTACTATTATCAAAGGGGTATACTGGCAAAAGTCGATGGCCAGCGACTGGTCTATCAGTTTGTCGACGTTCCCAAAGATATTGTTGAAATTAATGTCGATTCACAAAATTGTTATAATATTAATAAACAACAAACAGATATCTATTGATTTGATTGAAAAAATCAAAACAAAAAAAAATTTTAATTTTTTCGAAAAAATACAAACAAAATTAATTTCAACAAATTTAAACTGTAATACACTGACACACACACACACACACACACCCACACAATACACAAAAAAAAACAAACTTGATAATTTTTTTGATGACTTCAAAATTTTTAAATTTTTAAAAAAAAAACTAAAATATATTTTTGTCAAAACTATCTAGATGTTTTTTCCCTGATCTATATTGTCTACGCTTTTTTAAAAAATTGTGAATTATTATTATTATTAGTGATTGATTATTGCTATTATTGCTACTTTTTTTTTGTATAATAGATATTACTATTACCCTGATAATATATATATATATATATATATATATATATATATATATATATATATATATATATATATATATATATATATATCTGAGCCTGATAAAACAATTTTTGATGATAATGATTATAATAATTACAGCAACAACAACAATTAATAATAATTTGAGCTAGTTTATTTATTGAGTATAAATATATATATATATATATATATATTTTTGATGAAATTTGTATATAGAAATGATTGGGTGTGTAATTGTTTGAATATTTTCAACAAAAAAAAAATTAATAATAATAATATTTGTATTTAATTTGTATAATTGTTTAATTATTTTTTTCAATTAAAAAAATGTTAGTTTAATATATTGAATATATAAATATATATAAATATAGATTTGTAATAATAATAATTATATGTAGAAATTTAGGTATAGATTAACACAATTTTTTTGTTTGTTTGTTTGTTTGCTTTTAATGACTAGTAATTATTAGGATAATAATAATAATAATAATTTTGTTGATATTTTTTTTTAAAAAAATTATTAGTACACATAAACACATCAGTTGTTAGTAATTAATCTTTTTTATATATATATAGAAATTTATTGTTATATTATATTTGTATAAATATATATATATTTATATATATATATATGAAAAAAAATTGAAAATGAGTTACCGGTACAGATTTTTTTTATATATATAAAAAATGCATTTTAATACTGTATATATATAAATATATCTATATTTTTTGAAATATATGCTAAAACTGTTTGTTTTTTGAGGGCATTTAAACTGAATTATTATTATTATTATTATTTTTGTTGTTGAAAATATTCATTCAAAAATAAAACAATAATTATATAAATAAATTTTAGCACAAGTATTATTGTTGTTGTAATTAACAGAAAATTAATTATTTGAATCATCAATGGCTTAATATATATATATATTGAATATTGATATATAAAATAAAAACAATAGTGAGAGTGTATGAATGAGTTGAAACAATTTTTTTTGATTAATTAATTTTTTTATTTTTTAAAAAAAAAACGATAGATTTTTTGAATGAGAGATAAAAATTGATGATTAAATTTTAAAAAAATAAAAAACTAATAAGTGTTAAGTTTATTATTGAATTAAAAATTATTATTATTATTATTATTATAAATACATATATATATATATATAGAAATATATTTGAAAAATTATTTTCTATTAATGATTAATATATGATAAATATTACTATTATTATATAATATTAACTTTATTTTTGTACAAAAAAAAACAGATGATTATATTATTATTATTATTGATATTATAAATTACAAATTATTATTATTATAATTACCAATTATTAAAAATAATGTATATTTTACAGTACATACATGCATATAAATATATATATATATATAACACACACACACACACAATACAAATATAAATTATAAAAAAAATATATTTAAATTATTTGGTGACGGATTAATCGGGAAAATTTTTTTTATTAATAATTATTATTATTATTATATGTGAAAAGTTTTTTTTATTTAAAAATGATATATTAAACAAAACAAAAAAAAGAGAGACAAACAAAACAAAACAATAATTTTTCATATATAAGAAATAATGATAACTATAATAAAAAAAAGACATATTTTTATTTTATAAATAAAAATCTATCAAAAATAAAACAAACAAATTATTATTATATATATATTATTACGAGAGATAAAAATACAGATTTCTATTAATATTATAAATATTTGTAATTTTTTGAATTTTTTTTTTTTGAAAAAATAATTATTGAGACTTATTAATTAATTGATTAATTATTTTTATCTTTATCATTCATCATTTTTTCCCCTTAAATAGTAATAATTATTAAATTATTACTATTATTATTATTATTGTTCACATTATTATTATTATTATATAATTAATTAATTATTATTATTATTTAAGCATAAATATTTTTGGATATTGATTGTAGTATTAAAAAATTAAATGTTGTTTTTTATTATAAAAAAAATAAACGTTGTGTCTATTTATTTGTTTAATATATTTTTTATTATATGTTTATTGATTATTGATAATTACAACACAAAAAAATAATTATTTTTTTTAAGTATAAACTAGTGGTAAGTATTTTGAAAAAATTATAAGTAATTAATGTTTCAAATAACTTATTGGTTGTCATTATCGATGAAACAGGACTTTCATACCCTATATATATATATATAATATTAAAAATTTTAAAAATAATTTCTAATTATATTATTATTTATATTACAGATAACTAACAATTTTGTCGACTCATTGAAGAGATATAATACTAATAATAATAATAAGAAAATTTGTGAAACAAAATCAAATCTATTGTAATCATCAGTTAATTTAAATGTTTTATATATACAGTACATATATATTATTGATAACCGAAACAAAAATAATAATCTATTATTTATATAAATATATAATAATAATTTTGTTTGATATATAAATTTGATTCATGAGATTTTTTTTTAATTATAAAAAAACTGTTTAATAGAAAATAACAATTTGTTTAAAATTTTAGAAATTTTTCCATAAAAAAAATTATTTGATTTTGTCTATTAAAATAATTAATTTTTATTTATTATTATTATTATATAAATAATAACTAAACAAGTTATTGAATATATATATAAAAATATATTATTAGTATTATTATCTATAAAAAAAATTCCCAATATTTAAAACATTTAAATACCAATATTATTAAATAAATATACTTTAAGTTTTTAAGTGCATTGAAATATTTTAAACAAACTAAATTATTATTGGTTAATTTATTTAATAAAACAAAATCATAGATTAATTTTATAATTATATAATATTTTTTATTATTATAATAACTTATTATTAATATTATTGGAATTTCCTAATATAATATTTCAAAACAATTATTATTAGAAATTTTTCAAAAATTATTTTATTTACATATAATTTCCATTGAAAAAAATCATGTGTTGTTTATTAAGGATATAAAAGAGGATAAAAAAAATTATAAATTTAGTTTTATAATTAAAAAGGTTTTATTTTTTATATTAATAGATTCAGTGAAAAAATATAATTGACTAAATGTGTAAATAAATAATAATTACTGATTAAAACTTATTAATATATATATATATATATATATATGTTTTTTTTATCAATTGCCAATTATTAGATAATATTTATTTTTTTATTGTATTAATATAATTTAATTTTATGCAATTCATATGAATTTTTCTATATTCATATAAAATTACAGTTCAAAGTAAAATATATAATAAAAAAAATATTTTTTAAGTTTACCAGTACTTGTTAGTTAACGTTATCAGTTAATTACATATGTATTAATAGTATTATTATTATTATTATTATTATTACAATATTATTATAATTAATACAATACTCTATTACTACTGAATAAAACTAATAATAATAAATATAAAGTTTATAACAATTATAGTTTTATGTCAATTATTAGTACAACTGATAATATTAAACTAATTATTATAAATTAATTAAATGTAATTTTTTTCTACTGTATTATTATTATTATTATTTGTTGCACTCGTGTCTAACATGTGATGTTAGTGGCAAACAATTTTTTTTGTAATTATATTTTTTTTATATATATTAAAAAAACTTATTTATATATATATATTTAAATCCTATGATACTATTTACTATATTTCAATTAATTAATTGGCATTTATCCCAATTTGTTTTTTTTAAACTAAATAAATAAATTATTACAATTATTTACAAATAATTTAACTAATAATAAAATTATTATATGTATAAAACATTTATTTTATTTTATTTGTTTACACCACACGTTATAGTTAGTTAGGTTTTAATTGTATCATAAAATGTTTTGTCAATTTAAATAAACTATTTATTTATTTATTTTAAAAATATATAATATAAACATTTTTTTAAAATATATACCGGTATATATATATATATATATATAATTTTTTTTGGTAGATAGAGTGCGCCAATAATTATATATATATATATACCGTAAAAAATTTTTAAATAAAAATTATAAATAACTAGAGGTCTATTTTCATATCAAAATTATAATTATTTATTTTTTACAAAATTAATAAATAAATTTAATAAAAGAAATTTTTATTTTTTAATATAATAATTACATTAATTTAATTAAATATATTATTATTATTATTATCAATGTTTACACAATACTGTCTTTTTTTCTGAGAATTTTACACATTTTTATAGTCTATTATCTAATATATACTATAATATGTATTGAAGTTCAGTATTTAATTATAATTAATTATTATTATTAACAGAGAATCATATCTATTAGTAGTAATTTATAGATATATTTAATAAATACATACTTTTAGTATTATATGATAATAAAAAGTGCATATTTATTATTTTATTTTTTTAATATTATATATATATATGCATACTAAACTGATTTACTATTTTGATAATAACTAATATTAATAATAATAATAATTTCTACACATAAAAAATTTAGTAATGCGGATATAAAAATTATATATAAAAATTTTTTTTAACTAGGTACACTTATATATATATATATTTGTATTTGTAAACATATTATTGAAATTTATATACTGTATATATATATATATATATATAAATTATATATAAATTAATATATTTCTAATTTATTATATATCCGTGTATTTATATAGATATTTATAAGTAATATGATATTAGTATTATTATTACTAATTTATGCGCAATAATTTTTTTAATAGTAAAAGTGTAAATTTATATATATATATATATTAAAATTAATTATTGAAACAATAAAAAAACATGTTGTTTATTGTTGTTGTTATGATATTCAATGATTTCATTGAAAATATATATACTGTATATATATAAAAATCCCTATTATTTTACTTACGTATATATATATATATATATATATATATATATATATATATATATATATATATATATATATATATATATATATATATATATATGATTCCTGTATTGCATAATTCATATGACATTTAATAGATTTAAAAAAATGTTTTATAATAAATGACTACTACTACTACTACTACTACTACTACTACTACTACTACTACTACTACTACTACTACTACTATTGATAATAAATAATATTATTTCAATGCCATTATTATTATTATTATTATTTATATAGCAGGAAATGATGTGCACTAACTAATAATAATATTTAATATATAGATATATATATATATATATATAATAATAATAATTAGTGATAACAAATTAATTATCATTAACTTATATATAAAAAAATGCTGATTTAAAAAAAATATTCAACAAATTAATGAATAAAATTTGTTGAATTTTTTTTCAATATATATATATATTAATATTAATGTTTACGATATTAATGTTAATAGTTATTAATATTGTAATTGGAAATTAAATGTTTCGATAAATTTAAATAATAATTATAATAAATACTATTAATATCAGTAAAATAATTGGTATTTTATTGTATTTACGAAATAAACAAATAAACAAAATATTTCAAAATAAAATACATGATAAATGAAAAACAATTTTATTATATATTATATTTTTAAAAAAAATTTTTAATGTATTTTATGAAAAAATAATAATAATAATATTTAAGTAAACATTGAACAATTATAATTTACATTTTAAACATTATAAACATATATATATATAAAACATTTAACATTTAAAAACTTGAGAGAAGAGAGAGAGAGAGAGAGAGAGAGAGAGAGAGAGAGAGAAAACAAAAATAAATTTGAATTAATATTTTTTGTTGTTGTTATAAAGTAAATGTATATTTTTTATTTTAACAATTTATATAAACAAAAAATATTATATAATTTAGATTTTTTTTTTGAAAAAAAGTTAAAATATTTATTTATTGATTGCTTGAATAACTAAAATAAAAAGTATTAATTATTTATTCAATAATTAGGAAATTGAAAATAATTATTTTTTTTTGACTAAAATTTTATGGAAAATATTTTAAGTGAATTTTTAAAAATTTAAAAAATTAATTTTAATAATAAGTGATTTGAGTGAGTGAGTGAGTGAGTGAGAGAGAGAGAGAGAGAGAAAGAGAGAGAGAGAGTTTATTTTAGTCAAATAATTTTTTTTAAACAATAGTTAATATTGAATAATAACAATAATTTTATCATTATTATTATTATTATTATTATGATTATTGGTATTATCAATATAGCCTAAAGCAATCTATTTAATCTATTAGATAAACATTTTTTTGAGACAATAGTTATAAACAATTTTTTCAAAATTTATGTATTTGTTTATTGTATAGACTTTTCAGAGAGAGAGAGAGGGTCTAAAAATAGTTTTTATTATTATTTATAATATAATAAAAAAAAATAATAATAATTATTGATAAGCTTATGAAATATATGTCAATGAGTTTTTATTTTTTTCATATACCTGTATATACTGTATATATATAAAACAAATAAACATTAATTTTGTTATTTAAATAAAAGTAAAATAGTTTTGTTGTTAAAATTATTGAAAAAAAATTTAGAAAAATCAGTGAAAATAAAATATATAAGTTTTTTGTTTTTGTTTGAGTATTTTAATAAAAATAAATTTACAATTGAAAAAAAACACATTTAAAATAGACAAACATTTAAAAATGTATGGACACACACACACATATATATAAAACATGGACAGTTAGCTAAAAATAGACATAACTAAACATTTTTTTTTTTGATAGACATTATTTTTACATAGATTTTTATGACAACACATATAGTTTTTTTTTTAAAAATGAGAAAATAAGTGAAATTTTGTTGTTTGTTTGTTTGGGACATAAAATTTAAGGTATTTCTATATATATATAGTATAAACAATAGATTTATATATTAGATATACTGTATATGTATATATAATACTATAAAAAGGAAAAATACTAGACATTAATAAAAAACATTGTATTAATAGTAAGGAAAATGACATTTAATTATACAAAGAAAACATAAAATTTAAACCTATTTTATATAATAATAATATATTTATTTTATATAATAATAATATGATTGCCTATCGTTCACAATATATTGTTGTTGTAAATCACATATCAATAACATATATCTCGAAATTTAGATAAACTATTAATTTATTAATAGAAATATTATTTTTTAAAACTATAAATCAAATATTTTTGAACTCATTTTAATATAAATAAAAAATGTTAATTTTTAGATGAAATAAATGTTTAGGAAATTAAAAATGTTTGCATTTTTTTTGTTATTGCAATGATTTATATTATTCACATATGATTTACAAATAAACAATTGAACGATTAATACTATAATAATAATACCCTAATATATTGTAAAATAATTTTTTTTTAAAAAATAATAATAATAAACTATACTATGTTTTAGTTTCTAATAATAATACTTGAATTGAAAAAAATCATTGAATTAGCTTATTATACAAATTAATCAATAAGTAGTTTTTAAAAAAATCTTATATATATATATACACTAAATATTTTTATAATGAAAGAAAAACAATAGTAATAATAGTGAATAAATTTGATGATTGCATGAAATTTGATGAAAGTATTAGTGTTTTTTTAGACGGAAAAAAAGTTTGAATGAAATTTTGTTTTTTATAAAAAAATAACTAATAAATTGTTTTTTTGAAAAATTTTGTCGATATGTATGTATGAAATGTATTGTAATGGGCGAAAAAAATATATGACAAACCAATAGCACAACTACATAAGCAACTAAACTGCTGACTGCACTGACTACCGATGAAAATGGGATGATTGTTGAATAGGGAGGTGGGTGGGTGGGTATGATAGGGAATGGGTGTACTGTATGTATGTATGTAGGGTTACCATCAATTAATATATTATTATTAATCACATCCGGGCATCATTTGCATGCCTCCCATACCACCACCACTGCCACCTCCTTTATTCATCAGCGACGATAGCGAGCCCATCATACCGCTAAACATGCCCTTAATATTATCTAAACCGTTGGTCATCGACGACATGTCCATCGATGGCATCTTCGACATCATCATTGAGCTCAAGTCCATACCCTATAGTTGGGATGGGATGGGATGGGGGAGGGATGGTTGGGTATAGTTGTATAATTAATAAATAAATTTTTCCATACCTTTCCCATATCCATGGATGGCATCTTAGACATCATCATCGAGTGATCCATTGATGGCATCATTGATTTGCCAGACATTCTGTTTAAGTAATAATAATAAATATAAAAAAAAGTTATATAAAAATTGATTAATTAATTAATTAAATATTTTTCATTGAAAATTATTAAAAAAAAATCCAAAAATAATACCTGATATTTTAACAATTAATATATAATATAATTATTATTATTATTATTTTGAGTTGAAATAAATTTTGAGAAAATAATTTTTTTTGAGTGAATTAGAAATGTTTTGTTTGTTTGTTTGATTGGATTATTGAAATGAAATGATTTTTGTTTTGTTTGTTTATAATAATCAAAAAATATATGAAATTATTTTTCTATGAATATTAAAAAAAAAGTAATAATAATTTTTTTGCGGCGTTTGAATGAATGAATTATATGACATATGAATGATTTGAATGAAATGAATTGTATGAATGATTATTATTATTATTATTTAATATATTTTTTTCTAATAATAATAATAATAATAATAATAATTGTTGATTGCAATGATGATCGGTTAGGTTGACTAATAACCGCCGGCACCGCCACCATAACCACCACCGCCTCCTTTTCCTTTACTACTACCACCGCTACCGCCATAACCACCACTGCTGCCGCCACCGCCACCACTACTGCCTCCATAGCCACCCCCACCACCACTTGAACCACCATAACCTCCTCCTCCTCCACCACTTGAACCACCATAACCTCCTCCACCACCACTTGAACCACCATAACCTCCTCCTCCTCCACTGGACCCGCCATAACCACCTCCTCCACCACCACTAGACCCGCCATAGCCTCCTCCACCACCACTAGACCCACCATAGCCTCCTCCACCACCGCTAGACCCACCATAGCCTCCTCCACCACCACCACTAGAGCCACCATAACCTCCTCCACCACTACCACCACCACCGCCATAGCCACCACCACCTCCTCCTCCACCACCATAACTATCCATACTATAGCTATTATCCATTTGCATACAGCAATCCATTTGCATTGGCATTTGGTTTTTCATGCTTTATAATAATAATAATAATAATTGGATAATATATATATATTAAAATTAAAGCCAATAATTAGCATAAACTTGTCTAACAATAGTTTAGTTAATATATCATATATTGAATAAATATATATATTTCTAATTATATGTAATATTTTCATTACATATATTTAGAAAATAATTAAATTATTTTAAAAACTATTTATAATTAGAATTATATATTAGAATTTTTTTTTTAATATTAATATTTTTTATTATATATATATATATTTATTAAATATATTTATATATGATATTTATTTTGATAGTTTTATAGTTTAGCAAACACATGCATTTAAATCAAGCAAATGTAAAATTAAATAAACTTAAATTGTTTAGTGCGGTGTTTAGTGGAGTTTACTAATATGTTTTAGAGGTTTGGTAGGGTAGAGGTGGTTAGGATATGTGGTTTTTTTTATAAATAAAAAATATACCCCAAAAAACTACCTACTAATAAATGCTACCTAAGCTAACTACCATATAATTAATTAATTAATTTTTTTTAAATACTGGAAGTTTTATAATTCAATATTCAATAGAGAGAGAGAGAGTTTAAATTATTTGATTATTATAATCATAAACAAAACAAAAAATAATTATTTATTTATTTATTTTTTAAATATATATATTTTTTTATATATTTATATTATTATATAATTCAAAAAAAATATTTCCCCAATTTGATATGTTTTTAATTTTAACAGCAATAGTAATAATAATAATATATTTTTTTTAAATTATATGCTTGCAATTATATACGGTATATAAATTTATTATTTAAGTTTTTGATAGTATTAGTAAATATATATATTTTTATTTAAATTGTGATTTTTTGCTAATTAAAAGTTAGTTTTTTTTTAAATTAATTAATAAAAATTAATTGTATACTTACGGCAATGGTATCGGTATGGGAATTATGATTTTCTTTTTAGCCTATTTTTTATAAAAACAATTTTTTTTTAATACAATACATATATAAGTAAGTTAAACAAAAGGAGTTGGATAGAGGACAGGGAGTTAAAGGGGGGACAGTTAGCAGAAATATATATATATATATATATATATATAGTCACAAACCTTTAATAATGCGATAATCGGTAAAATTTCTTTCAATTTTTTGATCAACTTTTTCTTTTTGATGGCTTCGGTAGGTCTGACCAGCGATGATAGTAGACATATCTCCAGCACGAGTATCGTCAAAAATATTAGGCCTGTTATACGGCTCCGACTACTACTACTACTACTACTACTACATAGCACTGCCATAATTTTTTTTTTTTGACGGCGGGGAATCGGTATATCACTTATTTGATAAAAAAAAATTATTATTTAATTCAATTAACTGGTGTGGCACAGGTATATAATAATAATAATAATGATAATACTAGTGATGGGCTAAATAACATGTAGTTTAATTCAAAGCAACATATTTTTTTTTTTAAGTTTATAAACAGTATATCAAACAAACAAATATTTATTTTTTTTTAAAAAAACAACAATTGATGTCTTATTGTATGACTGATGGTGTGTGTAGTGATGATTGACTGATGCTTTCACTTGACTGGACCACCACTTTATATAGGGATAGGAGTTGACTGGTTTTTTTATGGCAGATCCACTTTCATCACTATAAACAACACACACACACACACATACAGACAACTCATCCTTAATAACTTTCATCCCATAGATAGATATATAGAGGACAGGTATGTATATATATATATATATATAAAAATCGAGTTATAATTAGAACAAACAGTTATATAACTGTGTTATTAGTGTCGTCCCCCTCTCCCCCAGGCAGGTATCCCCTGCCTGCTCTGTCTACCCCCCACTCCACCCCCACCCCCCAATTTTAACAATAGCTATACAGTTAACATAATGCAGCAAAAATAATAATAATATTTTTTTTTTCAAGCCTACCTCCAATTTACAAGTTATTGTAAAGGGGGGCTACTATTTTCCTACTTCCCCCCCCTCTCTATATACCCTCTTTAGACACGATTTTTTTTAATAGAAAATTATTATTATTATTATTATTATTAGCATATTTAGTTTATAATATAAATTAGCAATACATTTACACACACACACACACATAGACATTTATTATGGTATTAAAATCAAATAAAAAAATATTTATAAAAAAAATTAAAATTAAAATTAGCTATAAATCAATTTGAGCGAGCAATGCATAAATTTATTATTATTATTATTATTGTTAAAAATATTAAAAATTATTTATTTAATAAAATTGATGATTCTGTCTATTTATAGTTTGCTAATAATAATAATTATTATTTTATTGTTAGTTTATTTTTTAAATTATTAACCACCATGTAAATTTATTAAAAAAAATATATTAAAATAATTATTTAACTTACTTTTAGCATTATCATATATCGTGAATTATTTTTATTTAGTTATATTTAGTTTTAATTAATTTAAATTACATATATTTGTTTCAACAACATATTAGATTCAAAAAAAAAAATATTTATTATAAATAAAATTAATTTAGTGATTATAAATATTTTTAGTATTTTAAATAAAAAGTAAATCATTTATTTATTATATTAACTTTTTTTTGCTATTAAATTAAAAATTAATTAATTTTCAATACTCTCAATGTATTAGAGTAAACACTATCCCATAACTTATATTAATTTTGTCAAAAAAAATAATTTTTAGTCAAAATTTGTAAATAAAAAAAAATCCAGAAATAACTAACTATTAATTATAATAATTTCTTAATTTTAGTAATAAATATAGTTTTATTGATTAATTTTTTTCAAAAATAACCAAAAATTTTAGTATTATTATAGTTGTTATTATTATTTAAATTTTTGCCTAATTTTTTTCTCTAAATATATACATATATATATATAGTAATATAATAGTTAACTGTTTTGTATCATTCAATCATTTATTATTATTATTTTTATTTTGTGAAATACAATCAACTCGTGTGTTATATTATAGTTGTTAAGTCAGTCAGTCAGTCATCAAAAAATACTAGTGGTATGAATGGCATCCAAAACGCCTATCAATTATAAGTAATTTTATTTTATAATATAGTTTTATATATAAAAATTTAAATTTAAATCTTATTATTAATCAATCACTGGATGAGAGAGAGAGAGAGAGAGAGAGAGAGAGAGAGAGCATAGCATAGCATAGCATCCCATTCATAACTATTGCTAATTTTGGTTAATTTATTATCTCTGATGGCTTACGGCTATATATCTATAATACTTAAATAAATTGCTAATATCTACACTATATTGTTAAAAAAAATAATATTATTATTATTTTAAAAATTAAATAGCATATTATGTACAAAATATTTTTTTTTGGTTATATTTTAGACAAATTGATGTCACACACACACACACACAAAATATTATAGTTTAAACTTATTTATAATTTATATATATATTTAGTATATTAAAACAAAACAAAAAATAATGTCAATTTCCCACTTTTTATTTTAGTTGAAATAAAAATATTTAGCATTTACATAGGTATATTATAAATTATAATTTATTATTTTTGTCATTATATAAAAATATTTATATATATATTTATAAATATTTTCAATTATATGAATGACTCGAGAAATAGGAAATTAGTTTTTTTCAGTTAATTTTCTTTATTTTATTTTATTACAGACACACATACACACACACACATACACACACACACATACACACACACACACACATATACACACATACACACACACATACACACACACATACGCACACACACATACACACACACACACACACACACATACACACACATACAGACACATATACACACATACACACACACACACACACATACACACACATACACACACATACAGACACATATACACACATACACACACATACACATACATACACACACAACAAAAATTATAAACTATAAATCAGTTGTAAAATGCATTTTTATTTATTTTAATCATTTATATATATAAATTATTTTCTACTAAATACTATGTTATTTCTACAAAAAAAAACTAAAATAAAAACAACATATCTATGACTATAAATATATATATCTAATATATGAATTTAATTAATAATTTTTGCTTAAATATTATAGTAATGTAATATTTATTTATTTTTGTTAGAAAGTGAACAATTATTATCATTATTACTAGTAGTAGTAGTATATTGTTGTTGTATTATTTGCTAACATCCCGTTCCTCTTATAACTTATACTGAAAACAATAGTATAATATATAATAAGGTATTGGGTTTGTCGGGTCATCGTTCGGGCCATTCATTTAGATACATGTTTTTTTGTCATATATATACCGTATATATATGTGTATATATAAACAGTACTATACCTTATAATTGTGTAATAAAGTATATAACAAAACAGTATTATTATTATTATTATTATTATCATAAATTAGTTGTAAAATAAATTGAAAATCAAAATATATATATATATAAATATTATGAAAGAGAGAGAGGAATTAAATAGAAACTAATTGTAATAAAATTAATTAAAAATAAACATTTATACTAAATATATATAAACTTAAAATAGACAGTATATTAATATTATTATTATTACTGTATATAAAAAATTTTGATATTTGTTTTAAGTAAACAACAAAAAAATATTAATTAGATTTCATTCAAATTATTTTTATTATCAAATTTTTTTTTAGTTTATTTTATAATATATTAAAATAATTTACTTAATTTACACCTATAAACATGTTTAACACACACACACATTGCTATACTATCGATGATCTATTGGTTTAATTTATCAATAAATAAAAAAAACAATCAAATATTTATTTATAATATAAACCAATCAATCAATAAGTTATATATCGGTTATATATTTTGGACTTAAATTTTAAAGTCTATTCATTTATTCATTCATAAGATTTTTTTTTTGCGTCCAAAACAATCATACAATTCATTATAGTATTAAAT